AAAAAAAAAAAAAAAGATCACTGTGGTATATTCAATCAGGTAGAAAACTCTGATTCTCTAATCCTAAGAGTCATACTGCAGGAGTGCTCTTGTCTTCGGGTAGGTCAAAGTACAAGGATTAATCACAGTGGAGGTTTTTCTGTTTATCGTCTGTTTATTGTATTTGTGCTCGTTATACAAATACAACTGAGCAGAAGGTCTAAAAACATCCCAGACTCTTCCAATCTTCATCCTTCTGTAGACAGAAGGAGCGCCATGATCATGCACAGGAGAGCCCTTCTTAGAAGAACTGCCTGTCCCTTGGATAGTTCAGAGTCTTGGGTCCAGCAGCAGAGAGGAGCCCAACCTGTATGGACGCCTCTTGAAGCAGCCCTTGGTCACAGCTGCTCTGGGTGGGCAGCAGCTTTAATTGTCACAGTTCACATGTTCCCACCACGCAAGTCAAATCAAGGAATGAAAACAAAAGGGAGAGCGAGCAGAAGGCTGGAAAAGGGAGCCTAGACGGGGGTGTCAGAAGGGAGAGGACACATAGTGGGCTTCTGAGGTGCTGGCACTTGGTTGACATGGATGGAGTTACAGAGTACTTAAAATTATTCTTTATATTGTACATTCATGTTATATACTTTTCTGTATGCATGTCATATCTTAAAATTTTAAAAATATAGAAAAAACTTAAGAGGCTAAAAGTGAATAAAGGGACTGCTAATGGAACGGAAAAGAAGAAATTAAAAGAGCAGAGATGAGGATGGAAGAAGACGGCAGAGATGGAAGACGATGAAGTCTTGGAGGTGGAATGCGGCCTCAGTTTCTCTTTTTCTGTCTGGATACTGGTTCTGCTTCTAGGTAACGGAGCCCAACTAGCATACCCAGGATGGAGAGACCTTAAATACAGACAAAGGATTAGTGACTGACACAAACACAGCACCTTTCTTGCATCTCCCCCGTGTCCACCCTTTGTACCAGCCCTAGTGCTGGTACAGTTCCTGTAGAAAGTCTGGGGTGGCTGGATGCTTACTTGCCACCATCAGGGGTGCCAGGACGCCCACCGTGGGAGCTGCAGTTCCGTATACAAACAACTCTGAGAGGAAGTGCCCCAGGGCGAGGAGGAAGGTCCAGAGTGTGATGTGGTAGAGCCTGCAAGGGAGCCGACAGTTTTAACAGCTGAAGTTACTGTTTTGCACAGAACCGAAGACATCTATCCGTCAGACTTAAACCCGGGATGTGACTAGGGCTTAGGAAAATGACACTTTTTGATTACATGAATTTATTCTCATTTTGGGCAAAACTAAAGGTCTCGCACAGTTGCTAACTGAGAGAACGGTCTAGGCACTCAGAGTGGATCTCCAAGCCTTAGCAAGGTGGTGAACCCGGCAACAGCAGAGTCTAGACTGTGGCAATCCTAGGCAGTGTAGGCAATTCTGGATCTATTTAAGCACAGAATATTCTATTTATCCAAATTGGCTGCCTCTGGAGTCTAACCCTACCTGGCAGATGTCTGGCCACGTGCTAGTCAGTGTTTACAAGATGGATGATGCCACAGACATAACAGCCTGAATGGCAAAGATGAGCAGGGACACCTCTAGAGCTTTGAAATGCTCCTGCAATGTAGGCTGGTTACCTTGTGTCTTAGCCTAGAAAAGTGGTCAGACAGAAGACACAATGACAACTTCATGGGAAGAGAGCTTGCTCCTCAGCTTTGCCTATGAGGTAGAGAAGAGATGGGCTGCTAGATAACTGACCACTTGGTTTGCTGATATCTTTTTTGAAGTGTAAAATGAAAAAAAAAAATTATAAAACATTTCAAACATTTAAAAATAGAATACTATAACGAACCCTAGGGCAACCAAGACCCAACTGCATTAAATCTTAGCATTTTGACACTTTTGTTGCCAATAGCTTTTACTAACAAATAAAAAATTACAGATAAACAGTTAAAGCGTCCTGTGTATCCTTATCCCACCCTGATCCCCTTCTCCTCCTTCCCTGCTTCCCTAGAAGCAATCGATATCTTAAATTTGGTTTTTATCACTCCTGTGCATGTTTTTATACATTTTGGAAACATGAACGTATATGTAAATTTTGAGTTTCCTGTTAGGGAGGGAATAGGATCAGAGTGCACATCAGAAGTGCGTGGGTCAAAGTCCTAGGCTAGAGAGGGTTGGAAATAGAACTCAGCATTTGCAGCCATCCTGTGTTGGGAGAGGGGAAAAATGAATGGGTAACCGAGGTAAAGATAAGTCTAAGTTGTCTTTGCTCATTCCAAAAGCATGACAAAAGAAAGACATATCCCTTATACCTATCAACTATTCCTCATCATGGTGAAGGTCTTAAAAATGATTATTCAATCTCCCTTCCTCTCAGGTGCCCTAAGAGGTAGAACAGATGTCTATTCTCATTTTATAGATGAAGAGACAAAGGTGCAGAGGAAATAAATAATGAATCTGCTGCTGAGAAGCTAGTTACCAACAGAACTGAGACAAGAACTATTTTCTTGTTTTCATTGTCAGCCCAAGGCTGTTTCCACCGAACCATGCGATTCCGAAAATACATGTCAATTTAGGACAAGTACATTACAGTTTCAAGTTTGGAAAAAAAAAAATTAAAAATAAAGTTAGAGACATCAAAGGAGTAATAGTTCTGCTTCAAATGTCAGTCTTCCTCAGTTTATATTAATTGGATCTCTAATATTTAGATCTGCAAAATCAGGAATGAAAATTGCTACCTCCGAAGGCTGTTAGGAGGAAATTCAATAAAGACCACGTAGGTAAAAGCTCCTGGTATGATAAAAGGCGCTCCGCTGGGTATGGTGGCATGTGCCTGTGGTCCAGCTATTCAGGAGGCTAAGGCAGGAAGGATTGCTTGAGCCCAGGAGTTTGAGACCAGCCTAGCCAATATAATGAGACTCTCATCTTTAAAAAATAAAAATTAAGAACTTAAAAAGGAGAGGGGCTTTTTAAATATTATTGCTTCTTCTCTTCCCTACATGCTGAGAGTTTAGGTAAGTTAAGAGTGTGATAATCTGTTACTGGGATGAAAGCTTGAGCCCCCTCCAGTGGCCAGAACCAGTCACAGCTTCTGATTGTACACAGCAATTCCATAGGGTTCTGTTTGAGTACCCTAGAGAGGGAGGATACAGGAGTCCTAGATTCTATTTCATGCTCACCTACAGACTGCATAAGTAGGTTCTTTGTGGGTTCCTCTTTTTTCATGGATTGTAATTTCTGTTCATTCCTGCTTCTTAGGAGGAATGTGAAAAAGATACGTGTGGGTGGCTACTCTAAAAAAGGCTAATTCTTTTAATTATTTTTTCTTTTCTTAAAGTCAAGAGCCTCACTCTGTTGCCCTGGGGTTGAGTGCAGGCCTGGATAGAGTGCTGTGGCACTCATCACAGCTCACAGCAACCTCAAACTCTTGGGCCTGAGCAATCCTCTTGTCTCAGTCTCAGAAGTAGCTAGGATTACAGGCGCCTATCACAATGCCCAGCTATTTTTTCTATTTTTTAAATACAGACGGGTCTCATTCTTGCTCAGACTGGTTTGTAACTTCTGAGCTCAAGCAATCCACCTGTCTTGGCAACCTAGAATGCTACTACTATTACAGGTGTGACCCACTATGCCTGGCCAATTCTTTTTGCACGAAAGTTCTCTGTTGCTCAGGCTAGACTATAGTGGCATTATTATAGCTCACTGCAAACCTCAAACTTCTGAGCTCAAGTGATCCTCCTGCATCAGCCTCCCAAATAGTTGAAACTATATGTACATGCCACTACACATGGCTAGTTTCCACCCTCCTCCTTTTTTTTTTGTAGAGATAGGGTTGTGCTATTGCCCAGGCTGGTCTTGCATTCCTGGCCTCAAGCAATCCTCCCACCTGGCCTGCTAAAGTGCTAGGATTATAAGTTTGAGTCATTGCTCCTGGTCAAGGCTGATTCTATAGTAAAGAAGTAGAGGGTTATAAAAGGAAAAAAACCAAAAACAAACGTAGAGCAGTATGATGCTGACCATTGGATGACATTGCCAGTGAGACTCTGTCTCAAAAAAAAAAAAAAAAGAAAAATGACATTGCCAGTTTGCTATTATCAGTTCCAAAGAATTTTCAGACATTAAAAAAGACCTGTTAAGCATATTATGTTTTTTAGGCCTGGAAGGAATGAAATCTATTAGACTATTAATATCCATGTTCAAGGGTAATATGTTAAAATAATTAACAAGTCCCAACAGTGTGTAGGGGGGTGGTTGGCTGGGGCAGTGGGTATGCCTCACATCTGATTTCCAACAAAAAGATGCTAAAGCTCTTCCTTCCCTTACATACGTCTTGTTGTGAATGTCAATGGCACAGAGGCAGCGAATCACTGATGAGAGCAGTGTCCAGATCCCAAAGGTCCGAGCTTGGAGGCCATTCACTGTGTAGCAGAAAAAAACAAGAGTGTCGAGAAGAGAAGGGTTGGGCTTCCTACCAAACTCCTATTTCACTAATGGTTCATAGGCATTAGGGAGCTGAACCTCATCTCTCTGCGGCTGGGCAGAGTGGAGGTCTTGATGCTGCACATGGGAACTAGAAGGAATGGAAGAAGTTCCAGAATGACTACCACTCAGATTCTCTTCAAATGTCTACAGTTGGAAGGGGTGTCTTCAAGAGTGGAAACCCAATAAAGAGCTGATGCAGGGAAATAAGTCCTGGATGCAGTAGTTTATATCCTCCGCCCCTTGCAGTCCAGAGGGTCTAGATCAGACAGGTTTGGGGAAATGTTATAGAGACTGGTCTGTCAATACAAGATGCCTCGGAGGTCCAAAGACTTTCAAGGCTGATCCAAGAGAGAACTCAAGAGATACTGGGGATCAATCTACATGCCCACATATGTTCTTTTAAAAGATCTAAGTCCTTCCATCTCTTCCCAAATTTACATCATTAAATGAAGCCAACACCAGGCTGGTTTCCTGCGCACATGGTAGCAGAACAAGGCCTTGGTGTGTGTTGGCGGGGAACCTTGCTCTTGGAGGCTTCATTCTGATACTGTTATATTAAGTATTTTGTCCAGAAATTACGGGTCATATTCCACCATAACAATGGTTCTTAACCCTTGGCATTTATTACAATCAGCTGAGGGAGTTTTATAAAATTTCAAGGCCTGGTTACCAGACCAATTATATGATACTCTTTGGTGGTATGCTGTGGGCATAAGTGTTTCTAGAAACTCCCTGCTTGGGTGATTTAAATGCATAGCAATTGATCTGTGAGTATCATGACAGCCCCTCCAGATTACAAGGGAGGAGGCAGCCTCCACTTCTGGGATAGCCAAACACACACCTGAGTTCTGCTCAGCCGAATGAGCTTTAGCAAGCCACATGACCAGGTGGCTCTGTCTCGATTTAAATTCAAATGGTTAAACCCGATAACCTCTAAAAACCTGCAGATCTATACAGGGTTCTTTGATCATTTGAGGGCAGAATTTGAGGGTGAAAAAATAGAGTTGTCTTGCTCACTTTCCCAGGTTCTTTAATCCAATTACATTTGAGCTTTGCCCTAAACGAGCCTATTTAGCCTATTTAATTTCATTTTATGCCCAGACATTGCAGAAGTGAGCTAGGTCAGAGCCTGAATCTGGGTTAGCTATAAATGTGACATAGAATTATCAGCTACCGTGAAACAATGCTGCAGTCCAACTACCCCACACATTAATGTGATGAAATGCCAGCTAAAATGTACAAACATGCTCAGCAGAGAGGCTCAGGAAGCTAGGAAAGGCCACTGTGGACCTTGTGATGTTTCATTTGGGGAAACCAATTTGGAGGGACTATGTCACAGGAAGATCTTGGGTTAGTAACTCTCCATCTCTAACACAATATAAATCCAGTGTGCCTGGACATGATTTCTGAAAAGGGCTTTGAGATAATATGAAAAGGTTCTTTAGGGCTTTCTGGTGGGGCATCACAGAGCCACCAGGAAACTCTAGTTTTTACTTGCCATTATCATTTTTTTTTTTGTACACACTGCCCAGGGCAGTATAAAATGAATAAAAAAGTATTCAGAGAAGCTTGGACAGGGAGAAAAGGTCAAGTGCTTACCACAAAGTATTATTCCAGTAGCTTCTAGACAAGGGAGAATCAGAAGTCACCTGGGGAGTTTTAGCAGCTGGATTCCTGGGCCCTAGCCAGGTTCAATAAATAGGTACCTGTGCTTTATTCTTAACGTATCCTGATGTACAGCCTGTTTGTGAACCACAATGTAGGCCAGTCCTACAAAGGATGTAGAAATTCTTTGATTTCTTACCGAGGTTTGGCTTGCCAGTGTAGAGCTTTTCATAAAGAAAGGTGTGGTCTCGGAAGCTCTGTAGTGTGTTCCCCATGGCTATGATGGACACCATAACCAGCCAGCTTCTTAACACATTCAGGAAACGGCTCATGACTCCCCTTAAACCTGAGAGGGCTTTTTGCCTTGGAAACAGAGGCAGAGGACCTGAGACAATGAGGATCAGCCTGCTTCAACCATAAGCTCTCTCACTTTTGTGGTTAACCTATGTCCCACTCATGAGTGCTTAGTTGGCCAATCACTTCACAGATTCTTTCCCAAGTCCTCTAGGTTCATCCACCCCTGTTTTCTTAACACTCTACTGTTAACTTCCCAGGGTTAGCACGCTACCTTTGAATATTTACCCTATGCCAAGTTGCTGAACGTTACCCAGAGTGACAACAGCTAAATAACACTGGGTGAAAGAACTTAGCCAAAAAAAAAAAAAAGAGAGAGAGAGAGAGAGAGAGAAAGGAAGTATATGAATATTACTATGAACTAATGAAATGGATTATTGTCATTACCCAGAGTGACAATAGCTAAATAATGTTGGGTGAAAGAACCTAGCCAAAAAGAGAGAGAGAGAGAGAGAGAGAGAGAGAAAAGGAAGTATATGAATATTACTATGAACTAATGAAATGGATTTCTGTATAAAACTTATAGAAATTGGTTTCGATATTTAGTCACATTAATAATAGCGAATGAACAGTATATTTTACAATACGTGGCATAGTATTTATCTTTGTTTAAGTGATTTCTCCACATTATCACTCTGCCTCAGAACCCTTTCACTTAGTTGGAATCAGTTCTCTCATATCTTCACTTTTTCATGCAATTGTTTTATAAGTCAAGTGGCTTGAGGGTGATTCTAAATCTACTCAGAGATACCTCCCTGGCTAATGATGATCCTTCCAAGCCTATAGAAACCTAACACATTTGAGTGGAACTTATGATATGAGTGCGTGCTCTATTTACACCCTTAGGTTTTCTGTACTCTGGTTCTCAAGTACACCATGCTCCATAAACTAGAAAAACAATCTAAAAGTTAAAAATAAACTGCTGTGACTTTACAATTAGTAGAAAATTATGTGAAGAAGTAAACAGTAATCTTGGCGTTGGTTTGCAAGAGAAATTATAATAGTTATCAGCTATTGGCCACTTGCACTGCACACTGTGCCAAGCACTTAACATAGATTACTATTTAATCTTCATAATAGGGTAGGCAGACATTATTAATATTTCCATTTTACAGGTGAGGGTTGGAACAGAGAGGTTAAATGAGTTTCTTGAGATCACACAGCTAATACATGACAGAGCTGTAATACTATCTCACTGAGAATATTTTGATGAAGTTCTCATTTTTGAGGAAGAAAAGCATACCATATCCACTTTTGTCTTAAAGTTGTACAGAAAATACAATTAGATTGTATTATTTTAAAATAGGCTTAGAACAACCCTTGTTGAGTAGCAATTTTAATCTGCTTGATTTAAATAAAAACAAATATAATGAATCTAAGAATGAAACAACTTCCTTCCATCTTTACTATTATTATTAATATTATTTTTTGAGACAGAGTCTTACTTTGTTGCCCTCGGTAGAGTGCGATGGCATCATAGCTCACAGAAACCTCAAACTCTTGGGCTCAGGTGATCTTTTGCCTCAGCTTTCCAAAAAGCTTAGACTATAGGCGCTCGCCACAACTCCCTGCTAGTTTTAGAGATGGGGTCTCACTGTTGCTCAGGTTGGCCTTGAACTCCTAAGCACAAGCAATCCACCCACCTCAGCATCCCAGAGTGCTAGGATTATAGGCATGAACCACCATGCCTGGTGTTATCATTATTATTATTACTGTTATTTTTGGCCTGTGGTTTAACTGTTGGCAGGTTAACTTTTTGGCCCTGAAGTGATAATACACTAGCAAATTTCCTTTATTACTCTGGGGTCAGGAATTTCAGTACTGTTCTACTGGCTGAGTTAGACAATAAAGTCAACCATGGCCCAAGACAATATGAAGCACTCAACAACTAAACATAAAAGAACTCTAGTGGAGTAAGGATGTATTGATGGACAGAATTCGTCAAAAAGGTGGACTCTGTCCAAGTGCAGACAGACTAAGGATCTATAGAACATCACAGCAGGTATATAGCCTGGGCCATGAACCCACCTATCCTCTTTATTTTCTCACCCTCTCCAATAGGAGACTCTAGACCCAGGTCTCCTTTCAGAGTTATAAGAGCTGCATGGAGTCCTTCCATCCCCACCCCTTTTCAGCAGAACTTAAGTCTTCCATTTCACAGAAGCTCTCAGAAATTCCACCAGGCTTGAATGACAAAGCGTGAGAGCTTCTGAATTGCTCTGGGAATTCATCAACCCCATTTCCCTAAAGCTTTAGAGCCTCCTAGAGTGTATACAGCATCCATTTTCAAATTTTGCCCTGGCCCAGCTCAACACAGGTATGGTGTTAAAACTTAGGAGTCATCGAGAGAGGGACTTGGTCCATTTAGTAGCTGTGTGATCTTGGGCTAGTCCTTTACACTTTTCAGCCTCGGTTTCCTCATCTGCAAAATGGAGATACAAATATCTACCTCAAGAGTTACTATAAGAATTAATGTGAGAAAAAGTGAAGGCTCCTTACACAGTGCTAGGCTCACAGCGACTGCTCATTCTTTCATACACTCCTTCGCTCCCCAAATTTGCTAAGCCTTCTCCATCTTCCCAGCGCCCCCACGTCCTCATCTCTTGAGCCCTTTCCCCCACCAAAAGGTTGCCTCCCAGGTATCTTCCTTTCATCCCAAGTCCATTTTACTAGACTCTCTGGATTCAAGCCATCTACACCTTTCTTCTCTCCTATATTCTACTTACCTGGCCACCGGACTCCCAGTACAGCAATAGCAGCAGCAAACGAGCTCCCCAGGGCAGTTCTAGCTCGGAATCCACCTGAACCATTTGTCCCCGCCCCTGCCCTCAGCCCAGCTCCAGGATTGGGTCACTGCCGTCAGTCCTCGCTCTGATTGGCTGTTCCAGTTTTGCTAAAGCAGGAGATAGGGAGTGAACCCCTTTACTGCCAATCAGCAGTTGCTGCTAACTAATCCTCTCCTACAGCACGCTGCTCACGCAGCAAACCCTCCGGTTCAGCGTGGCAGAACTCTCGGTCTGAGTCAACCTTTTAGGGGCGGAGGAAAAAAAGAGCGGAAAAAAGAAGACTCCTTTCTGCCAAGGGCAGATCTCGACTCCCGCGCTGCGCGGCGGTGACGACATTCTTCCGCGCCGGCAGCCGGGCGTTTTCGGCGCCGGCAGCAGGCGCCTGCGCAGTGTCTCCGAGCGGGCGGTTGCTTGTTGGTTGTTGTAGTAACCGGGGAAGCGGCCGTCGGCGGCCGCCGTGAGCCGGGCTGGGGAAGGAGGAGGGAGGTAGGCGCAGAGAGCGGTCCCCGCCTGCCCGCCCCAAGCCATGGAAAGATGAAACAGGTAAATGTCTGCGCCGGCGCCCGAGGGAGGCGCGTTCCTGGGTCTGGGCCAGCGCCGTCCGCTGCACTTCCCGCTCAGAGCCCAGGAGCAGCTGTTGTATTCCGGATGCTCCGGGTTGAATCACTGCGGCGGAGTTGCCTGTCCTTTCTAGGGAGGAGGGACATGCGGATCTACTTGGGATTGGAGTGAGCTGGTAGAGGGGAACTGAGGGGCAGATCCTTTTAGGGCCATGACTCTCTTCAGCGCGTATCTTTAATCTTCTTCGATAGTCCTGTTTCTCCCCGCTCTGCAGGCAGACTAGGAACGGTTGGCATCCTTTCCTCGCTTGGAGTTTTTGTTTTAACCTAGGGGACTTCCCAACGTTTTGGGAAAGGTCGAGAAATCCCGTTGGTAGTCTCTGGAATAACGTCGTTAGATATTGCCTATTCCGCTCAAGATCTGTAGGGATCATTATCGGGGTTGGTGTTTTTTTGTCTTATTTATAATCTTATCGTTTATATGAATGTACAGAAAAGTAAAGTTTGGAAAGATTGACACGAGGTGGTTATTTCTGAGTAATGGGATTATGATCATTTAAATATGTTCATTTTCTTTATCTGCAGTTTCTGTTTGCCTCTAACACACTTAACAAACGTACTTTTTTTGCCTATGGAAAAATGTTTAAAGTTAGAAATGCAGTGTTGTTTGGCATGATCAAGGTTGTTAAAGGAAGAAAGAAAAAAATGTTTTGGAAATGTCCTAATTTTAATATCTATTTGAGATTCAGATCAAAGTTTTTAATAAGGTAGAACAATTAAGAGTTTTTGGAAGGACAGTGGTTTTTTTTTTTTTTTTTTTTCCCCTTAGCCGTTTGTATGACCCTTATTTCAGGAGAGTATAAAGTTTGTGTGCAATTTACTATGTTAAACTATTTTAAATTGCATATAAACTTTATGTGCACCCTGTATTAATCTTTTGGTTCATTGTTGAATTTTTCTTTAGTGGATACATGATGGCATCTTGCTGTTTGCAAGGGTCTTAAACCTGGAGTTCTTTTTTTTTTTTTTTTTTAACCCAGGTCAGGTTTGTCTAGCAAGGAATCTGTGTTTTAAGAATCATCTGCTTACCTGAAATTGCCCTAAAGGTAAAGTAAGCCTGTCCTTTTAGTGCATATGGCATTTAGTATATAAAAGACGACTGAGAAACTCAGACTTAGCAGAAGCTCTTCAAATACATAAAGCCCAGACAGTATGTTGGAAAAAAAGCTTGATTTTTATGGCCTATTTGAGGCACTGTGATAGAAGGTAAGCTTCTAGAGGTTGGGCAGTATTTATAAAGGAATGTATTTAATAATGTAGTCAAGAATGAATAGACAACTGCACTGTGTTTCAGTTCAATTGACCTTTTTGCAGGAATCTGTGCCATCCAAGTTGTTTGATCCAGTGAATCTGCCAGGAAAGGTCTCTGAGGCCCCTGTCTGCTGACTGCATGACAAACCCTAAAGGAAATGCCAGTGGTGATGGCCCGGGACCTGGAGGAAACAGCATCATCCTCAGAGGATGAGGAGGTGGTAAGCCAAGAGTAAGTAACAGCCAGCCTGCTTTTGACTTTGCTTTTAGGATGAAAAATAGTTTTCTTTTACTCATGTACAAGAGAACCTGCATAAGTTGGTCACCCAAAGGACTGTAACAAACTGGTTGACATATGGAGGTGGTCAACATAAGGAACTAAGCCTACCATACTGATGTGTACATGTGATGCACGTTTGGTCTGTGAAAATTACGTCAACTTAAGGAGATAGTCAGTGCAGGGAGGTTGTCAACTATGGCAGTTGTACTGTAATTTTAACCAGTGTCCTTCCTTGGTATTGTCTGACAATGGCTTTAGCTTCTATCCATGATCTAACTCAAGATTTTATTATTCAGTCTCCATCAGCTATCAGAAATGAGATAATCCTCTGTTTCTAGGCTCATGCAGGAACATGAGCTCCAAGTACAGGTAGCAGTTCTGGAGGAACCCTTGCTCAGAGCTCCTAACATAGAATATTTTGAAATTTTTTGAGATTGAGGAAAAATAGGTCTCTAAACTCTGTGACATTGATTATGTTTTGCTAATTTTCTCAAAAGCCTTTACAATGATAATACAGAGATCAGGTAACATAGTAACTCTGGGGCAGGATATTAGAATTCTATAGCCCATGCTGTGTCCACTGAACAACATTACTTTCCTGAGTTCTTTTAGGTATGAGTCAAGTTTCGTGATTTCTGAATCCTCATAATAAAAATGAATGGTAGTGATAAGTGTGTCTAATATAGATGGTGATAAAGGCTTTATCTCATCTGTATCTCATTTAATCTGAAAATTAAACTACTGTAACTTTTTTTTCTGAGTCTCAGTTTGTCCCCTTCAGTAGAGTGCTGTGATGTCATAGCTCACAGCAACCTCAAATTCTTGGGCTTAAGTGATTCTCTTGCCTCAGCCTCCCAAGTAGCTGGGACTACAGGTGCCTGCCACAATGCCCAGCTATTTTTATTTTTATTTATTTATTTATTTATTTATTTTTATTTTTTAGACAGAGCCTCAAGCCGTACCCTCTGGTAGAGTGCTATGGTATCACAGCTCACAGCAACCTCCAACTCCTGAGCTTAAGCGATTCTCTTTCCTCAGCCTCCCAAGTAGCTGGGACTACGAGTGCCTGCCATGATGCCCGGCTACTTTTTGGTTGTAGTTGTCATTGTTGTTTGGCAGGCCCGGGCTGGATTTGAACCTGCCACCTCTGGTGTATGTGGCTGGCGTCTGAGCCACTTGAGCCACAGGCACTAAGGCGCCCACCTATTTTTAGAGCCAGGGTCTCACACTTGCTCAAGCTGGTCTTGAACTGTGAGCTCAGGCAATCCACCTGCCTTTGCCTCCCAAGTGCTGGGATTACAGGCATGAGCCACCTAAACTACTATATCTTATTTAATCTGAAAATGTTATTATTTTCATTTAATTAAGCTCACTCTTTAAAATACCAGGAAACTTCCATAGGGATTCTGAGAAAGTAAGTGGTGGATTAAGATTCAGACTTAGCTTTCCTGGATTTTGAAGCACCTTGCCTTTTCTCTCCTATAATTATTACTTCACACAGTAAAGAGATGGTCTGGTTAAAGTTAAAATTCATTTTTTTTTTAATTGAGATAGAGTTTCACTTTGTTGCCCTTGGTAGAGTGCTATGGTGTCACAGCTCACAGCAATCTCTAACTCTTGGGTTCAAGGGATTCTCTTGCCTCAGCCTCCCGAGTAACTGGTACTACAGGGGCCCACCACAACGTCTGGCTACTTTTTTTTTCTTTTGTATTTTAGCAAGCTGGAGCTGGGTTCAAACCCACCAGCCCTGGTGCACGTGGCTGGTGCTCCACCCACTGAGTGCTGCCTAAAGTTAAAATTCACTTTAAGATTCTCTGTGAGTCCTTTTGAATATGTGTATGTGCTATGTAACCTGAAAAATAGAGATAATATTTCTCAGCCTAGTTGTAGTGATATAGTTTGGAGCAAATAGAATAGTATATGTGAAATTACTTTGTAACTTGTAAAGTGCTATACAAATAATATAAAGCATTATTCTTACTGGTTTAATATTGAATTTATGGTGGATTTATAAGGTAGAAGATTATGTAATGTAATTTGAAGAATGTTATTTAAGCATTAGTAAAGGTTTGGAAAGGCTTCTCATCGTTGTTAGGTCACGGGAAATAATAGAGATTTGACAGTGTATTTGGGTCATTCTTGTTCAGGATAATGAAGTGGATAATTCCCTTCAGTTACTTTGCCTTCTTTTGACTTTTTGCTTTCATTGTGCTGCCTCTTACCTATTTCCTGAAATTTTTAACCTTTGCAGCAAGTATCAGTCTTAGTATTTTAAATATATATATTTTTTTACTCCATTACTTTCTCTCTTACTAGTGGACTAGTGGATGTAGAAGTTGGGCCTGGCAAGTATTAGGTTCCACTATAGAATTGCTATTTTTGTAGGTTAGAAAGAGTCAAATAGTAAGTTATAGATTTGCTTTAATAAGTGGGTGACTGTGAAAGTTTTGAGAGAGACTGTGTTATTGTCCATTATTTCACTTCTAATAAACACAGTTTGACAGTGTTCTTTCTGATTTACCTGTGAAGTTTCAACTTGCTTGGCTAATGATGTTGCTGGGAGGGCTTCGTTTGTTTTTGTCTGTGCAGAGTGTACTTTTTTTTTTTTTTTGAGAAGAGCCTCACTCTGTGGCCCCAGGTAGAGTGCAATGGCATCATCATAGCTCACAGCACCCTCAAACTCTTGGACTCAACTCCTGCCTCAGCCTTGCCAGTAAATGGGACTATAGGCATCCACTACAACTCCTGGCTAATTTTTTCCCCCCTATATTTAGTAGAGACAAGGTCTCTTCCTCAGGCTGGTCTAAAATTCCTGAGCTCAAGTGATATTCCTGTCTTGGCCTCCCACAATGCTAGGATTATAGGCATGAGCCACTATACCTGGCCCAGGCTTACATTTTAAAAGTTGATTTGGAAGTTCAAAGGCCTTAAGTCATCTGAAGATGTTGATTTGATCCACAGACAGATATGCATGAGTATCTGTTAGATCTGCTCAGATCCTTTAGTCTGCATTAAAATATTAATGCTTTGTAATCCTGGACTTTGATTAGAAATTGTCCAGGCAGTCCTTGTTTTGCATAGCATTAATTCAAATAGCAAATGTGAAGAGGGTCTATTCTATATTTTGCTTGGGATCCCAAGTAAAATTTATATATAGGTGTAGAAAATTTAAGATCTTGATGTAAAGTTTCTTTAATCACTGAAAAAATAGTAGCTTTAATTTTCTATCATAAAAGCTGGCTTTCTATCAGTTAAAAAGATCATCAACAGGCTCAGTGCCTGTAGCACAGCGGTTACAGCATCGGCCACATACACCGAGGCTGGCAAGTTCGAACCTAGCCCGGGCCAGCTTGAACCTAGCCCGGGCCAGCTAAGCAACAATGACAACTACAACAGAAAAATAGCCGGGTGTTGTGGGGGGTGCCTGTAGTCCCAGCTACTTGGGAGGCTGAGGCAAGAGAATTGCTTAAGCCCAAGAGTTTGAGGTTGCTATGAGCTGTGACGCCATGGCTCTACCAAGGGCAACATAGTGAGACTCTGTCTCAAAAAAAAAAAAAGAAAGAAAAAAATCATCAACAATCAATTATAAAGTGAATGCTACAGAAATTCAGTGAAGCTGGGTGTCTTCACAGGCTGCAGAAGCTGGGGAAGGCTCCAGGGAGGTGGTGAGACTTGAGGTGGACTTAGGAGGCTGGGCTTCAAACAGAGAGGCAGAGAAGGCATTTCTAGCAGGGACAATGGTATGAAGAAGGCATAGAAGTAGGAGTAAAAATGCTACTTTACATCTTCATCTTTGAGTTATGTGGCTGGTTCTCAGAAGTGAATATTCTTCCTGAAATTGCTCCTTAAAAACTAACATGTTTTTAGACTTTCAATAAAATAAACCATGAAACCAGGCTGCTTGAATAACTAATCATTTAAATCCTTTGTTCTTTCATGCCTATAAAAGTAGGTTTTCTAAATATATACTACTTTCTGATATGACTAAAAATTTAAAGTCCCAATATTCAGTTTCCTAATAATTTTGAAGTTTTCCTTTTTAGCACCACCTGGTGGGAGCATGTTTTTCATGACAGTTTTGCGTCTGCCACATTAAGTGGTTTTTAGTTGATTTACTGAATTACTCATTTGCCTGTGCCCTTTTTAATTTTTCCTTAGATTGTAAGTGAAAAGAGTTACAAGTGAAAAGACTTCTCTGTGAGAGTTTTTATTTTCCATAAACATAGGGTGTCCTAAAAGTTGCCTTGGAAGTTGCTATACATAAGGAAAATTTTACAACGAGGTGGCCAACACGTAGAGAGTATTTTCATTTTGTAATGAATATTTTGTAAGTAAAAGTACATTTGGCTACATTTCCCCATTCTCCTATGTATGGTGATTTTAGGGGAGACTTTTGGGACACCTGTGGTATAGTTAGGGCTGGAGTCTTCTCAGCTATTTATTGTGTTCTGACTCTTGTTAGGCATTTTTTAAGTTGCAACATCAGTTATTGTTTGTAAGTGTTAAGATAGTGGTTCTCAACTTTGCTAATGCCGCGACCGTTTAATACAGTTCCTGGGGGTTGTGACCCACAGGTTGAGAACTGCCGTGCTAAGGCATAATGATGCCAGTTGATAGCTAGTGCTAGATTGGCAGAGAAATTTGGTTAGTTTCCAAAGTTTGTATCCAAAACTTTGTAGTTTAGGCTGCCTGTTTTTTATCTGTTGACTTAGAAATATAATGGAAAATTTATAAGGTGGGAAGAGATTATATGAACCATCTGATCTCATGCTCACAGTTTACAGGTATTTTAAGATTAAAAAGCAAGCAAGTCAGAAAACAGTCCTTGCTAAAAAAGATAGTCTGTAGATACCATTTCTCACAAATGGGCTATATTACCCAGGTTAAGGAACAAGAACAGTAAACATCCATATTCTGTTTCTGGAAAACAGAGCATGAACTAGGGATAGTGTTCTTTGTTTTCTTCACTAAAAAGCTATAGACAGCTCATCCCAAAGGTAAAGGCTGCGTTGCTTCTAGGATTAGTAGCCTGGCAGACTGTGCATTCGAGGTGTGGATCTTTTAAAACTTGGATTGGGAGGGTCTGGTTTTGCCCTGAGGTTGGTTTGTGGTATGGCCTTTTTTTGTTGTTGTTGTTGTTTTGTTTTTTTGAGACAGAGCCTCAAGCTTTCCCCCTGGGTAGAGTGCTGTGGTACCACAGCTCACAGCAACCTCCAACTCCTGGGTTCAAGTTAGTCTCCTGCCTCAGCCTCCCAAGTAACTAAGACCACAGGCGCCTGCCACAATGCCCGGCTATTTTTTGGTTGTAACCATCATTGTTGTTTTGGCAGGCCCGGGCTGTATTCGAACCTGCCACCTTAGGTGTATGTGGCTGGCACCTTAGCCACTTGAGCCACAGGTGCCGAGCTGGTATGGCCTTTGTTAAGTGGTATGGTTATGTGAGTTCTAAAAGTGGAACATAAATGTCTTAACACAATAACTAAGAAAATGACATAATGGCTATGTTAACCAGTTTGATGAAAATATTTCAAATTGTATATGGAAACACCACACTGTACCCCATGATTGCATTAATGTACACAGCTATCATTTAATAAAAAAAAGAAAGAAAGAAAGAGAAGAGAGAGCAGAATGCATCTGGGCTAAATTCATCTTATTCCATTTAGGGAATTGATTAAAGTTCCCTAAGAGTTGAGTTCAAGGTATTCAATATTTAGAACTTTATTGAGGGCGGTGCCTGTGGCTCAAAGGAGTAGGAGGCTGCCACCCATACTAGGGTGGCAGGTTCAAACCTGGCCCTAGCCAAAAACTGCAAAAAGCAAACAAACAAAAAAGAACTTCACTGAAATTCAATTAGGGAGGCAAAGGGTGGAAAGAAAACATATTGTGAGTACAAATACTTTTCCCTTACTTAAGTAGCTATATGATCTTAGGGAAATTAGTTAACCTCTTTGAGACACTTTTTCTTTAGTTTGTAGTGTGGGAAAGAGAATTAAAGAAGATAACAGGTGAACCTTCTTAGTTTAAATCCTGGCACATACCAGTAGTAGGGACTCAGTTCATTTTATTTTTGCTCCCTTCATATGTCCCCTGCCATAAGGCTGTTGAAGATTTTACTCATCTATGAAAAAAATAGCCTTCTGTCCAAGATTAATTGGGCTTTCCTGAGGCTCAGAGGTCCCTCTCCATACCATGGTTTTATACTAGAGGGAAATATATGTTGTTCCATTTAGCATAGGCTTTCCTTAAAAAATATGTCATTTCAATTGTAGTACTTGCATCAACGTAGGGTTTCTAGCTCCCAAACTTAGGATGGGTCATCAAATTGGCTTGAAAAGGTAGTATAGGACATAGAAGGGTTATTGGGAACATATCAGGATTCTTGATGTGTGTGAAAGATTAAAACATAACTCAAATTTTTCTAAGTGATAGACTTTATTAATTCATATTTAGGCAAGTCGTGATTCTACAGCTCCAGCTTTAGCACGCAGGATCTGATCATTTCTCTCCTTCTTTGAGTCAGCCTTCCACTGACTTCTTTCTTAACCAGTAGCTTGAAGCTCTCCCTTTAAGGTTACAAAATGACTGTGGCAGTTCCATATTTCTCATTCTCATACTAGGGATGAACGATCTTTTTTCTCTGCTGCAAATTGGAAGAAGAGTTGCCTTGGGTCACACATAAAATACGCAAACATTGATGAGCCCCTCCCTCCCCAAAAGGTCTGTTTTCATGATATCTGGCCCCACAGATAAGCATAATAGGTGTCATATAATTAACCCATGGCTTTTAGGCCATAGGTTGGACACCCCTGTTCTATACCATCAAGAGGAAAGGAGGCTATCATCTGTAGCTGCTACAGAAAAGAAACAAAGCATTGCTTTCTGGTCTCAGGCTATGTCTCCTTACATTCAAGGGCTCCTGTTGGTTTATGTGCCTGTCTCTGAACCAATCACTGTAACTAAATGATAAAGTACCCTGATTGGCTGAAACTCTCTTGAGCAGGGATAGAGTTAAAGTTAATCCTAAACCAACGTGGCTATGAATGGGAGATAAGCCAGGCATGGTGGCTCACCCCTGTAGTTCTAGCACTCTAGGAGGCCAATGCAGGAGGATTGCTTGAGGTTAGGAGTTCCAGTAGCTTGAACAAGAGGGAGACCCCATCTATACAAAAAACAGAAAAATTAGCCAATGTCCTATAGTTCTAGCTACTTGGGAGGCTGAGGCAGGAGGATAGCTTGAGCCCAGGAGTTTGAGGTTATAGTGAATTATGATTATGCCGTTGTACTCTAGGAAGATACTCTTAAAACAAAAAGAATGTGAGATGAGTGATTTTTCTCAGGATATTTGGGATTCTCGTTCTAGAAAGATGGGGAAAATTGCTAAGCAACAAGCTGTAGTAATCAGGTTAAACAGTTAATCCAGCTTTTGAGCTGTAAGTTAATGAAGCCTTTTTATGGTTTTAGGGATCATCCATGCATCATGTGGACTGGAGGCTGCAGGAGAATTCCAGTTTTGGTATTCCATGCTGAGGCTATTCTGACAAAGGACAACAATATTCGAATAATTGGAGGTGGGTGTAACCTCTCCCATAGAGGGCAGAGCTGGGCATGGCCTTATCAACCTTGTCTTGAAGAAATTAATATGACATATAGATAGGGAAAAGGCTTTGGCAATGAGAAGAATCTGTTGAGTTTTTATACTTCAGAGATTATAATTTCTTACATTGTTGTCTGCTTATATTATTCCTCGGAATTTTTTCAGAATTACGTGTATGCTTATTTTTTAAAAATTGTAGTAAAGTGCATATAACAAAATTTACCAATTTAACCATTTTAGAGTATCCAATTTGTTGTTACTTAGTACATTTACAATGTTGCACAGCCGTCACCGAACACTTTCATTATCCCACAGTGAAACCTGTACCCCTCAAGCAGCCACCTCCCCATTTTCCCATACCTCCAGTCCCTAGCAACCACTAATCTACATCTGTTCTTATGGATTTGCCTCCTCTGGATATTTCATATAAATGAAATCATGTAACATGTAACCTTTTGTGTCTGGCTTCTTTCACTTAGCATAATGTTATCATCCATGTTGGACCATGTTCCAGTCTTTCATTCCTTTCTGCGGCTGAATAGTATTTTATTGTGTGCTGTATCACGTTTTGTTTATTCATTCATCAGTTGATGGACATTTGTATTGTTTCTACCTTTTGTCTATTGTGAGTAGTGCTGATAGGAATGTTTATGAACAAATCATTGTTTTCAGTTCTTTGGGATATTAACCAGGAACGGAATTCCTAGGTCATATAGTGATTCTCTTTAACTTATTAAAGATCTGTCAAGTAGGCCAGAAGTGGTGATTCATGCCTGTAATCTTCACTCTGGGACAGTGGAGTGAAAGGATTGCTTGAGCTCAGTAGTTCAAGTCCAGCCTGAGAAGAGCAAGACCCTGTCTCTACTAAAAATAGAACAATTATCAGGTGTGTGGCTTGTGCCTGTAGTCCCAGATACTCAGGAGACTGAAGCAGGAGGATTGCTTGAGCTCAAGAGTTTGAGGTTGCAGTGAGCTATGTTGACACCACAGCACACTACCCAAGGCAATAGAGTGAGACTCTGTCTCCAAAAAAAAAAGCATCTGTTAGACTGTTTTCCATAGCAGCTGTACCATTTTCATTCCCATCAACAATGTATGTGGATACCAGTTTCTCCACATCCTCAGAAACATGTTATTTTTATTTTTTAGATTATTAGCCACATTAGTCAATGTGAATTAACTAATCAGGTATCTGATTGTGGTTTTGATTTGCATTTCCTTAGCAACGAATGACATTGATGTGCTTGTTGGCCATTTGTTTATCTTCTTTAGAGAAATACCTGTTCAAGACCATTCCCCATTTTTAAAATTGGCTTGTCTTTTTTGCTGTTGAGTTGTGAGATTTCTTTACACATTCTGGATATGGGTACTTTATCAGATGTATGATTGAAAATATTTTTTCTATTCTGTGGATTGTATTTTCACTTTCTTGATAGTGTTCTCTCATGAACAAAAGTTTTTAGTGTTGATGGTGTCCAGTTTATCTAATTATTCTTTTGTTGCTTATACTCTTGGTGTCATATTTTAAGAAACCGTTAAGATATGTTGCCTGACTCAAGGTCATGATCTAGTTTTTTCTAAGACTTTTATAGTGGCTAAGGCGCCAACCACATACACCTAAGGTGGCGGGTTTGAATCCAGCCCGGGCTGCCAAACAACAATGATGGCTGTAACCAAAAGATAGCCAGGCATTGTGGCAGGCACCTGTGATCCCAGCTACTTGGGAGGCTGAGGCAGGAGACTCGCTTGAGTCCAGGAGTTAGAGGTTGCTGTGAGCTGTGATGCCACACCACTCTACCCAGGGGTATAGCTTGAGGGTCTGTCTCAAAAAAAAAAAAAAAAAGGACTTTTATAGCTTAACCTCTTATATTTAGAGCCATTTAGTCATTGATCCATTTTAAGTTAATTTTTTTAATGTAGTGAGGTCCACCTTCATTCACTTGTGTTTGTACATTCAGTTGTCTCAGCAGAATTAGTTCAATTAGTTGAAAAGACTATTCTTTCTCCATTGAATGTTTTTTTGGTTTTTTTGGTTTTTTTGGAGACAGAGTCTCACTTTGTCTTGGCATAGTGCTGTGGTATCATAGCTCACAGCAACCTCAAACTCTTGGGCTCAAGTGATTCTCTTGCCTCAGCCTCCCAAGTAACTGGGACTACAGGCACCTGTGACAACACCTGGCTATTCTAAGAGATGAGGTCGCGCTCTGGCTCAGGCTGGTCTCAAACTTGTGAGCTCAGACAATCCACCTGCCTTGGCCTCCCAAGTGCTAGGATTATGGTGTGAGCCACCATGCCTGGCCCCATTGAATGGTGTTGGCCCTATTGTCAAAAATCAGTTGACTATAGAGATATGGATTTATTTATGGACTCTTAATTTTCCATTGATCTGTATATTTATTCTTATATTAGTGCCATACTGTTTTGATTACTGTATCTTTATATTAAGTTTTAAAATTGGGAAGTGTGAGTCCTCTAATATTTTTCTTCTTCAGGATTGTTTTTGCCATGAATACATGGTCTCCGGCAATTCCATATGAATTTTAGGATTACCTTTTCCATTTCTGCAAAAATGACTGTTGGGATATTGATATGGAGTACATTATATCTGTAAATTGCTTTAGAGAGTATTGCCATCTTAATGTTCAGTCTTCCAATCCTTTCACATGGGATGTCTTTCCAAAACAGAATTTTTTTTTTTTTGAGACAGAGTCTCATTTTGTCATTCTTGATAGAGTACTGTGGCGTCACAGCTCACAGCAACCTCCAGCTTCTGAGCTTAGGTGATTCTCTTGCCTCAGCCTCTTGAGAAGCTGGGACTACAGGTGCCCACCACAAGGCCCGGCTATTTTGTTGCTGTTGCAGTTAGGCCCAGGGCCGGGTTTGAACCTGTCACCCTCAGTATATGAGAATGGTGCCCTACCCACTGGGCCATAGGC